AGATTCAGATCAAATATATAAGGTTTCAAGGTTTCACAAGAAAGTGCAGGAGTATTAACAAACCATTGTGAATGTAAATTTGCTTAAGGTGTCCAAAATATTTTCAATGCTAAAAAAATTACAATTATATGACGAATTGGATATTATATTATGTAATGTGCTGATCAGAACCTACAGAATCTCATCATTTCGGACCAGGACGATGCCGTCACTCAGGGTGTAAGTGGCCTGACAGCACTCGCCCAACTGGAATGGTGAAGGGAACTTCATGATCTCATGCCATCTGCCCATGTACTAGCAAAAGACACAAAAAATTATGCAACAAGATCTTTTCATTTGAAAAATTACATACCTTTGAAGCTGAACATATTAACAAGTACTTAATAAATATTTCTGAGCAAAAGTTTACCCTGGTGGGATCAAAGTCTTTCTGAACAGGGGGCTGAGGACATTTTCCAGAGCCGATGGACTGAGCGCTGACTGCCAGTACTGCCAGCAGAGTCAGAGACACAACCTGAAGAGCCTGCATTCTCTCTGTTTCAACCTGGAAAACAGTCAGATCTGCAGACCAGAAACAGACATTTTGCTGGAAACTGAGACTGAAAACCCAAGCATCATCTTACCTGTTTGGACTCACGAGTGAAGCTTGTGTTCAAGGTGGAGAACTGTGACAACTTCTGACCAACTTCAGTATTTATAGACGATTGATTTGTTATATCACTAACTCCACCTCCTCAACTGACATAACCTCATTATTAGAGGTTTGGGGAACCAGGGCATCTGCTCAAACAGATGTGGAAGGTTAAATAAACACACCTTGAGAAGAAGGTGTTTTGAGTGAAGAACGGAGTGATGACTGACTGAAGCTTTCCACATCCATAAAACTAAAGCTCTGTTAGATGTTCAAATCATTTTTTCCAAATCATAATTTTTTTTGAATTAATTTTCTTCATATTATTTAATAATTATCAAATCGACCTTTCTGTCAGAATATATACAGTTCTGTGAAATTAACTGTAACAGTCAATCTACACTTAATAATGTGAAAGAACACAAAACCCTGAAAACTAAAGGCTATGCCCCATATCTGTCAGATTAGCATTATGTTTTATGAGAACAACTTTTACTGAGGAAATTTATTATGTCATTCCTCATTTAGATTTCAACTCCATTAGTCTCATTAGTAGAAGTAAGTTAAATCCTGAAGTTTTGTAACACTGCATTTTGCATGGACAGTGTGGGTAAATTTAATTTAAGCAGTAATCATGAACACATTGGAATGTCAAACTTCTAGCATTAAAAATTTCATACAATATTTTCTTTTTATCTTTTTGTTATGAAAGAGCTGTGTGAAGTTGTATTCTCAACTGAAGGTCGCGTCACACACACAAATCTTTCATAATGTTCTTATCACAACAGTGTTATTTAACTTCGTAGGCACAATGATACAAGTAAAAACAGTCCAGTCTGCTGTACAACTCATCTCTGGCTTAAAAAAAACTGTATTTTTACTGAAGAATCAGGCAGTGAAGAATTTTTAACAGTGATGTTTTGATGCCACCTTGCACCACACCTGCCAGAGGCTGATGACTTAATTTTACTAGCCATAATGAATTAAAAGTTTATTAACCACAAATATGAATATGTCTTTTCTGGACATGACACTGTTTGGGTATTATCAGTATCACTGAAAGTGTTAATGTTTTGTGACTAAGCATTTTTTTAAAAGTCCAAAATTGGTTTTTATTAGTCCATGAATTTGTTCAAATATATATAATATTGTCCCTTGCAAACTTCAATATGAATTTATAATTTTCCTCAGATGTTGCACCATGTGTTTTAAACCTGTCAACTCTCCCAATTTCCCCGGGATTCTACCATATTTTACAGTTCTATCCCACTATCATCCCGTAAAGATATTTTCCTGTATTGCTCCCGTATTTTTAATCTTTTTTATGAAGGGTGGCAATAAACATTAAAGAGCCGAGCATCCCTATACGCAAACCATACCGCCAAACCACTAGGGGACAGCCCTTCCTCTTAAATGTAAATCTGTTCTGTGCTTTCATTAATTTAGGCATGAAAACACTTTGAAATAAATATAAAAACAGCTTCAAAATCACTTCCCTTTTATTACATGTGCTGTCATCCCTCCAATCCTCAAAACAGTCAGTTCATGTATCGGTGTGTGACTGTCAGCTAATGCGCTCCATAGTAATAAATAGATGCTGTTTCCCAAACAGATTCTGTACACGCGATCTGAAGTGGAGCTGAAGTAGACACTCTTGGTTTTGGGTGCGTGTTTAAACAGACATTTACACATGATTAATAATAGTAATAACATCTAAAGGCGTCGATCTTGGTGGGTTTTCTTTCAAACACAACTAATTTTGTCTTAAATGAGCAAAAAACATCAGGAAAGCAATCGAATGCTTTCATTATAGATGTGTGCATTTTTAAAGTGGCACCTCTGTTATTTAATTTAATCAAACGAAAATCTAAATGAAATTCATTTGCTGCTCTTAAATCAGAATGTTTAAATTATACAGTGAAGAAAAGGTTAATGAGATTTTATCATTTTATTCTATTTCTTTTTAAATAGTTATTAATTTTAATAGGCTAAACCGTTTGCTAATTTATTTACAGCTAATGTTTACTATTTATTCTATCCTTTGTAAATAACAATAATAAAAATATTACTGACCGTTTAACTGTTGATTTACAATGAAACAGCTTCAGATGAACATATTTAGTAATTTGGGGATTTTTTGGGGGGTGGGCATATCCTTTAATTTAACATCCCAATGTTGACAGGTATGTTGTCTACACATATTTGGACTCAGAAAGGTTACTATTTTTTATTTATATACACACATAACAAATAAATTAGCAAAAACAAAATAGCCCACAACACACACACACATTTTTTTTTCTTTTAATGCACCATCTATAACTTCCAAGGATTTTCATATTTATGCCATTTAAGCATAGTTATTTTAGTACCAAGAATGGATATTGATTTTTTTTATTAATAATTATGATGCTTTTGGTATTTACATGCCTATCTTACTTTTGAAACGGTTCTCCTAACTTTTAATGTTATACAATGTTTTTTTCCATTCATTTTGTTTTGAAAGGTGTGTGCAAAGTGGTGTCCTTAGCTGGAGGTCAAGACACATGTGAATCCTTCCCAAACACACCAGTGTTTTGTGACTTATCACAAACGCTTGCAACATGCAAAACACACATTTACACGTGAGCATACGGTCCTTGTGTAATGAAAAATTCTGTTGCATAAAGAACTTTTTTTCCACCGATTTTGGTGTGGGCAACCATGAGCAGCCTCCTCATTATAGCTCCAACTATCTGTCAGCATCTACATTACAGAAGACCATAACACTTGAATTAGAACAGTAAGTCTCAAAGTGGGGGTCGGGACCCCCTCGGGGGTAGCTTAGAGATTTCCAAAACTCAAATAAATTTTATTAAACTATTAAAAAAAAACATATTTTATTTATAACTTACAGAAGATAATTAATAGTTGTGTTAAAGAAACAACAATATAAAAATAAAAATCAGCCAGCAGCCTTTAATATTCATATTAAAATGTAATTAAATTAATAAATGACTGAAAAAGAATATTATGTGGTTAATAGGCTGTTGCATTTTTGTGCTGTCAATATGCTCATGTTTATATATGCCTAGAGTTGTGTCTGCAACGTTTATACATTTACAGTATAACCACCTTGAAAATGGGGGTCGCGATTCACTGACATTGTTATTTTGGGCGTCGCGGGCTAAAAAAGTTTGGGAACCCCTGATTTAGAACATATGCTGCATCCCAATTCGCATACTTATACTACGCTCTTAAAGTATGTATGTTTTTGTGAAGGAAAAGTATATACTTTTGAGTGTGTAACAGAAGAGTATGCAAGCTTTGGTACACACTACTTCCTCTTTAACAGATCGTTGTGTTGCTTAATTATGAGCCCTGTCAATAATCCTCACATCATCCAAATTTCTGTCATTTATAATTTCCTACCTTACTGGAGAAGTAGCAGCAGGATTCTCCAATAATGACATTCACGAGTCTTTTATGCAAAGAAATCTCCTCTGGTCTTTGGATAATTATGCATTCAGACGTTAATGTGCAAACATGTCTTTATATAAGCTCAGTATTGTTGTTGCAGAAGGACTATAACACATACTGTACAACACAATTTAAACATTTTCCAGTGGGCTAGATATTAACAGTCATGCAAACATCTTTACCGAAGCCTCTCTACTTGACGGTTGGTCTTGCGCGTCCACCATGTTTTAGTTTATTTACACTTTTCACCCGTGTTTGTCGTTCTAATCAAATTCACGTCCAATGCGCAAAGTCTTGTGGGCAATATCAGAGTTGGGGTATTAGAGTATGGACGATTCTACATTTCAACTTTTTACCGGAAATAGTAAACCATCCGGGAACCTTTGGCACACTCTTTTTAACATATTACGATTTGGGACATACTAATTCAATTTTTAAATACTATGTAGGACAGATAGTATGTGAATTGGGATGCAGCAATAGGTCACAAACAAAAGGCAGCAGCTTTGCAGTTTTCCTCAAACCCTAATCAAACAGGGCTGATTCAAATAATCAAGCAGTTCAAAACTACTAGAGACTACTTGATCAGTTGTGTTTGATTAGGGTTGGAGCAAAACTGTGCAGAGCTGCGACCCTCCAGGAATTGAGTTTGAAATATATGATTTAGTTGCTTCAGTGTTACTTTTCCTTACGCAATCAAGCCCTAAACTTGAACTTAATTTTTATTTCAACTTAAAAGGAAAAAAGACCTAGCAGCATTTGTTTAGTTTAGATATTTGTCCATTATGGTACATTCTCTCATGACTTCAATTAGCTTAATAACTTACTTCATGTTGGGAATAAACTCACAAAGATGTCTTGGGACAGTCACATGATTCAAATAAATACTCGGCGCTCTCCAGTCCATCGCATATTCAGCACGACTTTAGGAGGTAAGAGTCTATTTTTTGGGTGTCAAACTTTTGATATTTGCTTTAGACGATAAATAGAATCTGTGTATACTTCACAATAGAATTCAAAGGCTTGGGGTCAATACTGTTTTTGCTCATTTATTCAGCAAGACAGAACTTATATTTAGCCTGCTTTAAGTTTATCAAATCATTTGCAGTAAAGAAACTTGTACTGTTACAAGATTGATATATTGAGTAAATGTGTTTCGGTTAAGTTGCTTTTCACCAAAGGTTAGCAAAAGATTCATCAAAAATAATACGCATCAAAAAGATTTTCAACTCTGATAATCATATTTATGTATATTAGAATCAAATTGGGATATTGGAATAATTTCTGAAGGATCGCGTGAGACTGAAGACCTGATTTATAATGCAGAATTTACTTAACTAAATTAGGTTTTGAAAAATATTTTTATAGGTAATACTTTACAACAACAGTACATGAAGATGTGTTAATATGTGAACTAAACGTTACTTTATTATGGACTGAGGAGTTAATATGTGCTAATCATAAAATTTAACTACAACATGAGTCACATGAGTTCATGTGTGAAAAACGGCCACCTTTATTAATTGTTAGTACATGATTGTTTTTTAATAAATGCATTAATTACCATATTAGTTTATGCTTAATTTAACCATCATGAACTCATGATATGTTAACGCACATTACCATTAACTCATTATCAACTACACATTAACTCTTTTTGCACGTCCATCTAGTGCGTTTACACTGAACAACAATAAAAAAAAGTGTTCAATCAATATCAACAATTTAAACACAGAAGTCCATGAGTAGTTAAAGATGAGTTAATGACTAGGTGCCCCTTCAAGTAAAGTCATGACTTAATTTTACATTAACAGCGCATGAGTTCATGTTGGTTGCATTTAGCTTAAACTTAAATGTTGATTAATACAATAATTAACAAAATGTACTAGGAATGGGCGATTTGGCCTAACATTAAAATCTCGATTAACTGAACATTTTTAACTTGATTACTATTAATGAATGGTTATTTTATTTATTTATCTTGTTTTTTTGCCCTCAGAGTTCCCTGACAATGTAGTGCAAAATAAGGCTAATTTTTGGATAAATAATTGTAGCATTTGAAAATATGAGTCTTATTTTTTTACTGGTCCTAATAATTTTGAAAGTTAGTCTTTATAATCAGCAAAAAGTGAATCTAAATATATATTGTAAATGAATGAATATAATGTAAATACATTTTCTGTTTTTAATGTCTTGACCATTAAATGTACAAATTTTTTTTGTTTTGTTTGTTAATAATGCTCTTAATAACATGAGCAAATAAATAATTATTATCCTTTGCCTTAGTCCCTGATTTATCAAGCTTCCCACAGCGGAATGAACTACTAACTACTTTGGCATATGTTTTAAGCAGCAGATACATTTTTTACTTTTACTTTTTTTTTTTTGTAAAGGGTAAAATGAAGGTGTTTCTGGTCGTGTTGGCCCTCTTTCTGCCCCTCATGAGTGCCCAGGTGCCTCACTGGGGTCCGTGCCCAGAACCTGCAACTCAACCCGCCTTCAATCTTCAAAAAGTAACTTACTGCACCTCAACATAAGATATGATCACATCTTACATTCGTCCTTTACATTTACTCACAATCTACACACCTGTATCTCCATGTAGTTTATGGGCCGGTGGTTTGAGATCGCTAAACTTCCAGCACAGTTTGAGCGAGGGAGATGCATTGAGACCAACTTCACTCTCAAGCTGGACGGAACAGCTCATGTAGTGAGCTCTGAAATTCTGTGAGTACCAAGTCAATGGATACTTTGAGGACCAGTGATATGTAAATGCTTTATATTACAGATTTTCTGTGTTTTAGAAAAGGAGAGCTAAAAACAATTGACGGGACGGCTGTGGTGGAAGATAAAAGAAACCCGGCAAAGCTTGGAATTAGTTTCTCCTATGGTAAGAATCTGCTTTTCCTTTGAACATCAAATGATGAATAATTACATGTTTCTTTCATAATGAATAGGAAACATCTTTAAGCCTACGTCATATTTCATGTCTTCTTTATTTGACAGTTTTGCCCTACACGCCATACTGGATTTTGTCCACTGATTATGAGAATTCGGCTCTGGTCTATTCCTGCACTGATGTCTTGAGACTCTTCCATGTAGACTTTGCTTGGATTTTGGGACGCACCCGATCCCTGCCTGCTGCCACCATTGAACATGGAAAAGAGGTTTTTACCAGTAACAACATTGATGTCAGTCGGATGATCTTGAGCAGGCAGCAGGGATGCGACCAAAAACTTTGAATGACTAAACTGAAATGTGTTTTAAATGTTTTGTGGACTGTTAAAGTACTATACTATTATTTTAAATATTAGGTATACAATGAAAATGGTTTTATATAAATCCTAGGCACCATTTTTAGAGCATATTGTTATTAAAATATTTATCAAATAGTAATGGATGTTGGCAAATTAGAAATGTTCTCTATCTGTTTTGGGAATTTTTGTACCTATAATTGAAAGCACAAGTTTCCAATTGATCAAAATAAAATAGAGCACTAACCAAAACCATGCGAAAACGCTTGCCTCGAGTCTGTGACTATTTTTGGTACATTTTATAAGCTCCTCGTGGCTGCAAAAAAATAAAAAATGATAATAATAATAATAAAAAACACGACTATGAATTATAAAAAACATAACAATATTTAAAATTATAAATATGATTTAATCTTTTCGATTTAAAGTGTCGAAATTTGATCGTCTCAGAACTGATTGTTTTACAATTTTTATCATTAAACGGTTATATAAATCATCTTACCTCACTCCTTCGCGGCTTAAAACTGAAGTGTAGCGTTTGTTTGGCCTCGTGTCAACAGCGTCTTTCAATGGCTCCCGGCGAACTCTGGGTAAACTAAATCATCTTTGATTTGATTTGATTGGTTAACTGAGTTGAGATCCACGAACACTTGATACACAACGCAAACCTACTATAGACCATTTTAATTGGTCATCTCATTGGCCCATGAACATTTCCTGCTTGTTATCAAACTGTTTAACAAGAGGCAATTTAATCATAACTTAATATTAAAACGTCTATCATAACATTATTTATCAATGTGTGGCTCTTTTTGGATATACATAAGCTATAGAAATCATTAAAAATATAAAACAGCAAATACACAGGAACCAATAGTTTTTGTTTACATCCCTCAAAATGGTGTATACTGAATACTGAAGACATTTTTTGCAGTACATGAAACAATTAATGTAATCATGACTTATAATAGTTTTAATAACAAAATTTTAATAACTGTTTTATTTCGTCTTTGCCATGATGACATGATCATAATGTTTTACTAGATATTTTTCATCTGGATACTATTAGTGCAATTTAAAGGCTTAACAGGGTTAGCAAGTTTGGATAATTAGGCAAATCATTGTATAAATGATGGTTTACTGTATATAATGAAAAAAAAAAACTGCTTAAGGGGGTTAATAATTTTGAGCTTAATGTTTTTTTAAATTATTATTCTTAAAAACTGATTTTTTTTTCTAGCCGAAATTAAACAAATAAAACTCTCTCAAGAAAAAAAAAGTACAGAAAATACAGAATTTTTAGCTTTGCTCTGTTAAACATCATTATAAATATCATTCATTGTAGGGCTAATCATTTTGACTTCAACTATTTATACACCTTATCTACCTTAAACTATACATATCTATAGACAGATAGCTCGATAGATAAACAGATTGACACACTTGTACATAAAATGTACATTCTACATCCGAGATGGCCAAACTAAAGCCCTCGGGCCAAAATTGGTCCAACCTTGATTTGCCCTGCCATCCCACAGGAGTGGAAGAATAATGGGGATGGTTTAGAGAATGCCAACTTGAATGTAATCTTTAATTTAGTTTGCTTTATTGCTAACCTACAAAAAATCTGAAATTAAATGTTTTAATTTAAATGCTGTAATTTAGTTTAACATATAAATCAAGTCACCTTATAGAAAGGAGACAATGCAAAGACTTCGGTGAGCAAATCAAGACAACGGCTGATTTTGCTTGACTAGTATATTCAGCATTGAACTCCACTGCATTATAAATGTGATTGTTTTTATTTCAATAAGTTATGAAAAGGAGAAATGTTTATTTGGCAACTAGCGCAAATACATTTTTTTTCTCTTAAACAAATAAATACAACAGTTTTTCATTTTAAGCAATTTAAGGTTTTATTTTAAGTTACTGGCAATAAATTGATGACAATTAAGTAGCCAAACATTTTGTTTACCAGAATTTTATTTTAATATTTAGAGAGTTCACAAAAAAAAGAAACTTGTTTTGCACTGAGTGACAGATGCACAATTATTATAATTATGATATTCATATGAATGCAAGCATACAGACAGTAGAGCTCTCAGATATACTGTAGTAACAGAAAGGATAGTCACAGAGTATTTAGTCACATAACAAGATATTTTTAATCACGTTCTGATCTTAAAAGATCTCATTACTTCATCTTATAAAGGAAAAGCATATGTGTGGAGAAGCATGTTTATTTTCATCCACGTTTATATGTTCAGCGGAACTGCAGTGGACTGACACGCAACCCGATCACATCTTTCCCAATCTCAGTTACCTGGAAAACAGGAGAGACACAGCCAATCAAAACCCATTCTCCACTGCCCACATAATGAAAATATTAGACCTTCTGCACTCTAATTAGATAATAGCTGAGAACTGACCTGTGTGACCCTGCAGACCTCTCCTTTGTATTTGGGGCAGTAGCAGGCTCCAGACAAGGGACATTTCTCTACAGGTCGCCCGCGGTACAGAGGAGTGTAAGAGGCTGCGCAGATGTCGAAGGGATTGTGGGGATCATAGTTGAGCTGGTGAGCATCTGTCAGACTCTTCTCACAGGCAGAGAGAATTTTACGTGTCTGATGAGAAAAACGTTGGATTATTATTGAGAGATGTTTTACACAAGAGGGATAAGAATGTAAACACTTGAAACAAAATGTATTATTTAATGAGAATACCAATTGAATAATCTCAAACTATTATTTACTTTTAGATATGTAGGTTACAGTTCAGGTTTTAGTAGTTATTAAAGATTACAGACATAAGATTAAATACAAATAAATCTACAAACTAAAATAATAATAAAATAGATATGAATGTAAAAGACGAAACAACAAATTATTTAAATTATTAAACTATTAACACAGGGGTGTCCAAACTCTGTCTCAGAGGGCCGGTGTCCTGCAAAGTTTAGTTCCAACCCTAATCAGACACATCTGGGATAGCTAATCAAGCTCTTACTAGGCTTTCTAAAAACATCCGTGCGGGTGTGTTGAGACAAGTTAGAGCTGAAATCTGCAGGACACCAGTTGTCCACGACTGAGTTTTGGCTCCCCTGCTCTAATAGCTACTTCATACAAAAACAACACTGGCTTAAATGGCATAAATATATGAAAATCATTAATAATTATAGAGCGCACATTAACTTAGAATTCTTTCTTTTCTAAAAAAAGAAATGTGCTGATATAGACTACTATCCATTTGTTGAGTGTGATGTCACGTGAAGCGGCTTCCGGGTCCAAGCACTCTATTAAACTGTATGGGGAGGCTCAAATGGTAATAATAAACGTTTACAAAATGATTGTTTTTAAAATTCACTTTAATGTGTGATTTTTTTTTGTGGACTAAAAAGTGGTCATAAACAAATATTTTCTCAATTCAAATGAGTAGCAGCTTGGACCAGGAAACAGTATTCCATACATCACCGATATGTCACGACTTAACAAGCCGATAGGTATAAAATAAATGGAACTAAATATACAAACTAAATTATTTAAAAAACAAAATAAATAAATGAGTCAAAACTAATATATATATATATATATAAAACTATAAGTGCAAAATGACAAAAAACAGCATATTTATTTAAAATTATTATGATAAAGATTATAATTGTTACACAGTAACAATACAACAGTAACAATGGCTTTAAATTACATAAATATATGATCATCTTTGAAAGTTATAAAGCCTATATTAAAAATATATATATATATCCCAATATATTTTATGGTTATTTCTAAAATTAAAATAATAATAATAATAATGACAACAACAACCACAACTTTACTTTTCTACTTTATATGTTTAAAAATATACATATATATATTAAAATGATTTCTTTGAATACCTTACATGCATGTTTTTCGATAGAAACATATTACAGACACTCAAATAAGATAATCTGCTGTTCAAAACGAACCTTTAATGCGTGCAAAACATTAGGCTATGAGATAACTATGAGATAGCTATGACGGCTTGTGTACTGCATATTTTAGTTCCAACTAGGCATGGGCAAGTTTAAGATTCTGAGGGTTTCAAGTTATTGTGATTACTGCTCTAAAATATATTCGTTTTAAAAGTCTGAGTAAAAAACTAAAACTTTTTCCACTTTGAACACAATAGATCTTATTTTATCAAACAAAAAAAATTATTTGGAGCAGTAAACATGTCAGGCTGAATAATTCAAATGAATCATTGGCTTCTGCTTTTCCAAACCGCTGAAAACAGTCATCATCCCATGCCTAGTTCCAACCCTAATAAAACACACCTGAACCAGGCAGGTATATTAGAACTTTTCAACACGCCTGTCTAGAAGTTTCAAGCTAAACTATGCAGGACACTGGCTTTCGAGGACCGAGCTTGGACAACCCTGCATTACACTGTCCTAAAAAACAAAACAACCATTAATTCACCTGCTGTGCCACTTCAGGTTTGGGGCCTAGCTCAAGCAGACGGCGAGCAAAACCTGCTGCAGTTTTAAAGTTGCGCAGTTTGAAGAAAAGATTGAGTGCCGTTCTCAAAACCAACACCATGTGGACAGGCTGAAGACTGCAGTGTGTGAAATACGCCGCCATCTGAAACACACAGAAGAGATCTAAATATTAACTTGGTCCATAAGGTGCAGCATATTTCAGATGATTATCTAAAGCACATACCTCACAAATTCTCTTCTGCTCATCAAGACTGTCTTTAGGGAGTTTCTTCCTCTCCGTCTCCATCGTGAGGCCAATAATATACTCCTTACAAATAGTGATCAGCTGCTGGGCCTGAGTGACAGTAAAGTAGGGTTTATTTTGAAGGTTACAGTTCATTCACAATGCATTTGGTCCATTCTAATATGCTACTTTTCCATAGTTTTTCTATGTAAATGAGCTCGACCATTATGCTTGTGTCTAGCATCTTTAGCAGTGCCTAACACATGTGCTGTGTTTTAAAAAGCAGTGTCAAGTTAAAAGGATTTCAACTTGTACATACTGCACCGCTCAATGCAAGTTCTAAGCAGTGGAACGATCAGGAAAAAATTCAATTTAAAATTAAAATTCCATTTTGTTTTAGATTAGATTCAACTTTGTTATTACACATGTAAAAGTACAAGACAACAAAATGCAAATTAGGTCTAACCAGAAGTGCAACAGCAGCAACTGCAGGATATAGGTTATATTACAGATGGATGTACTATGAACATTATATACAGGTTGTATAAGTTTTGAACCGAGATTAACAATAAATGAATATGTACAGGTTGCTTTTAATAATCAGAAGTATACAGATATATATGAATATAATTACAAATGTATATGTACAGTGGGTACTTAGTATTTAGTTATTTAGGTTAAGTTACGTCTTTTTTTATGTTGACCTGAATATAGTTGATTAAAAACAAACAGGTAAATCATGAAATATTAAATATGTAACCAAAATTTCTAAGCTCATTTATATGGGGGAAAACATGAATAATATGAAGGTTTTAATAATATAGACACAGATTTAAATCTGTGATCTGGGCTATCCACATTTCCTATGCCCTTATTTTTCTCTTCTCCTAAATACGAACATTTTTAAACATTTAAGTGTTTTAATTTGTGCATTTTTTTTATTCCATTTTGTATATAATCTCAACTGAAAAATGAAAAAGGTGGAGCATAGAGTAGCTCCTCCCCTTAAAAAACAGCCAATAGCATTTAGTTTGTTGTTTGAGTGGTTAAGCTCAAGCACATGAAATGAAAAGCAAATGTGAAGCGTCCTGAAGGGGGCGGGACATGTCAGATGGTAGAGAGCATTGATTGGTCAAAATTTGACGAGACACTGAAGTACGCCTTGATGTTAAAAAAACAAAACAAAACAAAACATGTTGATCCTTTTAGGGGAATGGGACAAACTACAATGTTAGGATGTTTGCATCAGTTTTATATTTTCTGAATGTTAATCTTGTCATTGTTTTGAAACACATTAGCTAACAGACATCCTTAAAACCAACATCTAAAAAATTGAATTTAATTTTACAGAAAGGTAGTGATTTGCTTAAATCCACCAGGTTAATCTGTAGTTAGACCAGATTTTTTACCAAATCATCCCTGCCTAACATGTTCATTCAGACTTTATTTGTTGAGGACTATATATTTTCATTATAGCTTTGGTCATTCAAAACTTTTTTTCAACGCACCTCTGCAATCTCTTGTTTGTTGTCGACCACGAGCAGAGGCACGGAGAGGAGAATGGCTCTGAAGCGTTCCACGGCATCTTCGAATCGGCCTGAGGTGGTCAGCTGATAGCACTGCTGCAGGCGAGAGATGAGGTCAGCGAGACGCAGACCCACTGCTGGCAGACCTCCTTTAGGCCCGCTGTCCTTCCAGTTCCTCAGGGGAAAACTGTGCAGGCAGGGCAAAGATGGCAGGCCCAGGTAACAGGTGCGGCCGCGGGACAAAGTCTGCATGAAGAGCTGCTTATACGGCCCAAACTGAACAACGCCAACCTGGTCATGTAGCAACTGTTGAAGAGAAGAATCAAAATAAAAAATTAGAAATAGCCAAAATAATAATAGTAATAGTAATAATAATAATAAATAATTCGAAATGTACATTTTTTACTTTAGGCCTAATAACTTAATAATATAATAAAAGCTTAATTGGTTCTTCGGTGCACCGTGATGCAGACACAGACAATTTAATATCGGTTCTGTAATAGATTCTAATCGGTTATTATGTACTGATGCCATTTATCTCATATGCGCTATGTCGCAGGGGGGCGCCAGCACCTATTAAGGGAGGCGCGAGACATTGAGGCGTGTAAATTATGATGACGATTATGAGTACACAAGAGGGAATATGATTAACGTTAGCTCCACAGCTAACTAGCAGGCACCTGTCGAGTTAATGCGTTCCTGTAAAATATAACAAATAAAATAAACCCTAGTGCTTTTTAAAATGAATGACAGTGAATGAAAGTAAAACCGGTAAGCCTTCTGAGAAAAAGTGCCCTTCTGAATCAAATCAGCAGGATGCCCTTCTGGATCTTTCACTTATATTGAAGACATACTGACTATGTTTACATGGACATCAGTAATAGTTATTTGCCTTAAACTAAATAAGACAATAATATAATTAAGGTGTTACATGAAGTGCTTTTTGAATGTTGGTCACCAGGCTATCCACGTTATCTGCAGAGTCTGGTGTCATTTTGGTTGTTTCATCTTTAATTTTTTTTACTTTAACTGCAGTTCGCAGTATCACTTTCACTCATGAACATTTCATTCATGTCCCCATGAAAAACTGGGGCATTTGATGTGAATATGAATTAAGGACTGGTGGAAGAGTGTTGTTTAATGGAATTTAATGCCTCATGTCAAATGGAAAGAAAAATCAAGAAAAATCAGCATTTTGTGATGCGTGTGTGTTACTTTAATAATGCTACTAATATGTGCATACTCTACAAGTCTTAATTCTATTTCTGTTTAGTACAATTATAAGTTTAGTTGAATTAGAGTATTAAAAAAAATAAATTAATTAAATAAAAATTTGCTGTTAAGATGGTAGACTATTAATCAGAGTCTTAATCATATTAAAGTGATGTTGCCAATGTAAACACTTAATATTCGACTTAACCACACTGTCAGGGTTCTGCGAACTTGGTTTTTGCGAAGCAGCATTTTCTGTATGCATGTACATCAAAAGGAAGTATGCTATGGCTCATGCTTATTGAAAATTAGAGATGATTTACGGTTTGAAAACCCCTTCGGTAGAATACTATGGTGTGGCAGGCGAGCGCGAGTAATTCAAATGCAGATACTCTGCACAATTCATTGTGCGTGTTCGCTTGACAGTCTTTCACATTTAAGTTACAGCAGAAGGCCATATTTTACTGCTATGGAAAAATGAAAGTAAACTCCATTTCTCTCTCTCTCTCTCTCTCTCTCTCTCTCTCTCAATCGCAGCATATTCTGTTAACCGCATGACTAATCGTAGATGTTTAACAACTCGCTTGACAACGATTAAAAAGCAAGTGGTATTATATTTACGCTTGTTTACATGCTATAAATGCTCGTATTGTTTTGTGCATGTCCTTGAGTTTTGTTTGATGCAGAGTGTTTTCTTTGAGCAGGTAAAATTAAAAGGTACAGTTCATATATCTGGCTGCTTGTATTAAAACAGTGGTTCTCAAAGTGGGGGTCGGGACCCCTTGAGGGGTCGCGGAACAATGAAGGGGGGGGGGTCGCCTGGTGATTTCCAAAAATCTACTTATTATTATTATTAGGCCATAAGAATTACCATATTTTATCCATAACCAACTGAAGAGAAACAAACAGTCGTTTATAGTTACTATAGTAGCTTATTTACTTGTTCTATTGGATTATGACCCCTGGGGTAAATACATTATATTAAAGACAGCAATAGCTTCAGATGCAGCAGATTGATTTTATAACACCAGGTTAAACTTTCTGGCCCATTTACAGCACTGACATACATAAAAAAAAAAATAAACGAAGAATAGACTTTGGTCTATTGGAGTGTGTGTGTTCGCCATTGCATGCAAGTTTTCTGAATTTATAACCACCTCAGAGGATATTGGGGGTCGCGAGTCACTGGCATTGTTATTTTAGGGGTCGCGTGCTGAAAAGTTTGGGAACCCCTGTATTAAAAGACTAGATTGTAGGGATGTAACGGTATCAGAATTTCACGGTACGGTAATACCTCGGTATCAATGTCACGGTACGGTATTTATTGAATCATTTACAGGAAAAAACAAAACTTATGAAAATACTCCAAAAAAATGCCAAAAGTGTCAAAGACATACAAATTAGCCATCTATCTGTAAGCTTTGAAACAGGAACTTCAATTTTAATAACAAAAAAAATATTAAACCATGTAAAAAAAAAAAAGTTTTTAATTTAGTATTGTTTAAAACTCATCACATTTAACATTTAATCACTCACTCACTTAGATAGAGATGTGTTTAAAGGAAAATTTTCATATAAATATAATCTGTTAAAAGCTGGTATCTCTGGGCATTTACAATGTCCCCTGCAACAGAAAAAAAAACCTCTCATTTGGGACTGAGGTTTCTGGGACAAGAGAGATATGACTTATATGACTTATTTCTCGAGCGCCGAAAACGGAGCTTTTTGAAAACGCTGGAGAGGCCGTTTTCATTCTGAAACGCTGCTGCTCCGTCTCAGTGTGGATGGGGAAAGACGGAGTCATCTGAAAACTGAGGCGGGGCTGCAAACGTTCGCCTCTCTGATTGGGGCTTTTCCTCAATATTAAGTAGCCCACACACAGTTCAGTCTCGCATCCTCTTCTTGTAAGTTAAGACTTCGCAAGTTTGATCAAGGCTGCAGTCTCCCCCTTCTCAGTTTGATATGGAAAACATACCGAGGACACGCGTAAATCTTCAAAGGGAACAGTGTACTTTATAACTTCATTCACATCACCTTGGCTACGTTGTTTCACTTTCTCAACAATAAAATGTAAACATGATTTAAGGAACTGCATATTTCCTTTTTAATATTAGAAAACTTAACAGACAACAGAAATTTTGAGGCGCCGTGCTGCATATATGAGCGTCATCTTCACTGTGTGGATATTTATAACAAAACGGAGCCGATAACAACTGCCTCCTTTCAATTTCAGTGAAAATACGAAACACACCCTCTCTTTTGCTGAATATCAGTTTTAATAATCGACAATTATAAAAGTATAACATACAATAAGTTTATACATTGTAGGAAATAAAGGCAAGCGATCAGTTAATGTACCTGGATTAATCATTAACTTATCTTTGCGCTTAACCAAAACATGTTACCCGTGAACAAGTAACTTAATAGATTCCAATGACCAAAGTCAGGGAATTGGCCTATGTCGTTAGATAAAGACAACAACATGAATGAAATATCACGTTTAGCAAATATAGTGAGATTAGATCCAGCGGGAGATGCTTGATGAGCAGTCCGACAAGCAGAGCTCTCATCTGGGTAGAAATGCTGGAGCGCTTGCCCGAGGGTGTGTGTGTGTGGTCACGTGATGTGCGTTTTCAGCGTTTTGGTGTGGACGGAGAGCTGTTCAGAAACGCTGGGTAAAACATGAGTGTGGACGCGGATCGTTTTCATTCTACAACGCCGTTTTAAAACTAAAACGCACTAGTGTAAACGGGGCCTTAGAGTTTTACAGCTCTTTTTGATCCCCGCTTCTAGCAGCACACTCCATTTCCGCATTACTGGATCTGTAGCGACAACAGACCGCAAGGGATGATGGGAATTGTAGTTTTCGCTACCTCCCGTTCGCTTCATTCGCCTGAGCAAATTTTCTCAGAAGACCTATAGTTTTACCGAGTCATGCGACTTCGGTAATATCGAAAAAAATTAATATTGCGGTATGACGGTATTTACAATACCGTTACATCCCTACTAGATTGTATTACAAATACATATAAAATGCATTTAAAAATTATACATTTTAATACCAGAATTCTTGTGCTGTGAAGTATATTATAAAATTGTGTATGGAAAGCATAGTCAATGCACTGAGATATCGAATTATATCGAATCGATGACATAATCATAACCGAACCAGGAGACCAGTGTAGGTTCACACCTCTAATAAATAGTGATTCACTATTAATATAAAATAATCAATTATTAGCACTAAAATGCAGCAAAACTGATTAAAAGAGCCATTTAGCAGTAGAATAAAAAGTAATTTCTTATTTTAATATTTCTGTGATAAATAATATAAACGTGACCAAGAACTAAGTGATATCGATTAACAAATTAAAACAATAGCGCATTATTTTGTAGTTCTTACAACAAATTATATATTTGTAACACTATTATTTAAAAATTATTATCTAATATATTTTATAGTATTATTATTTGTAGAATAATATAATTTTAGTCCTACAAATGAACAAAGGAAAATGTACTTTACACAATACAAATAAAATGTATTATTAGAAGGTAAAAGAATATATTACCAACAACAACAAGCCCTAATCTGAAGTTGAACAAGATCATATTACCCTCATAGCAGTCTCAAAAGAGCCAGCCAGTATGTGATCCACTGACAGCTGAGAGTTGTTGCACCACATCTGGGTTGGGCTTGTGCCCTTAGTGGGTGGCACAAAGAAGCCTTCACCCTCTGCGCCACCTCCACCAACAGAAGGTACGTCCTTTGTTTAAAGGAAAGACAAAACATAACAGTTACTTAAGATTGAGAATAAATCCAGTAATAGATGGAAGTGGCTTATTTCAGTTCTACACCATTCATACCAGCTCTGGTGGGAGATCCAGATCTTCTTCAACATCCCAGCCTCCTCCGTCGTCTTTCCCAATGGCTCCCTCATCACCCAGTCCCTCCTGAGCATCCATGAAGCCGTCTGAGCAGAGCATCAGGAAAGAGTATTGGGTTAGAAAAGAATGCATAGCTGCTAGTGGAAGTCAAAAAGTGCTATTTTGCCCTTTTTAGTCTGGGATAGAGTTTGCCCTTCCAAACTCAGGAGAGCTGTCATTTGGTGGCATAAGTACAAACTAGTAGTACTGCTAGTGGTATTTAATTGTCAATTATTGTAATTGGCTTAGGTGGCCTAGGTTGCTTTGTGAATTTGTGATACAAATTTATTGTGTTTTATATTTAATAATTATATTTTATTATATTGTGTTTTTATAATTTTTTCTTTAAATTAAGGCATCTGCTGCTTAAAATATATGCTGGATAAATTGGCAGTTCATTGCACTGTGGCAAGCCCAGATTAAGGACTAAGCTGAAAAGAAAATTAATTAATGAATATATAGGTTTAAACAACATGGACCTTTATAAAGCTTATGGCGTTTTACTATATACAGATAAAGTTTAGAATAGTATTGCAAATAAAAACAAAATAAGAAAGTACAAACTATTTATAAAAAACACTTCTATAATACAATAATTGGTATAACATTTTATAACTATATATATATATATAAAAACAACAATTATTATATATATAAAAACTGATAGAAATTTAAAAAAACAGTAAAACATATTTTTGATAAAACAAAATTAATTCACATTTATAAATAATTCCATCAAAGACCCTCCAGAAAAACATTAAACATTAAAAATAGGGCATTGCAAAAGTATGTGTTTTACATTTAGGATGTTATTGCAACACTGACATTTATAAGCAACTTTTCTTTTAAATAAATGTCTATGAGCAAGTCTAGTGTGTCCAATAAGGCATCTTGTGTAAATAACCTCTTAATATCTTGATTAAAGGAATAATTTGATTTGGTGTTTTCCTATAAAACGCAATAGTAAATACCTTCATCCAAATGAAGTTCTGCATCTTCTCCCCACCCTTCTCCTCCTGGAGCATCCATGTCCAGATCAGCAACCATCTGCCCTGCTCGTCCTACACAGATACAAAAAACACACGTTAATTATCAAAATGAGATACATTTAACCTCAGAAATCTTGGCAGCCAACTCAACATGCAACACAAAAATGGCACGTCACCTTTGGCAGCGATAGCTCCCTCAAAGAAGCCCTTGGAGACTGTGAGCAAAGGCCAGTTTGTGTCCAGAGGGTTGATGGGAGGTGGAGGCTGCAGCAGTTGAGCGTTGGGGTCCACCTCTGGCACCTGTTCAGGAATGTAAACCACAGCTCAATAATTCTGATCAAACACTTACCTATTAATATAATGAGGACCGATCATACCATTTCTTTTTCAAGGTCAAAGGTCTCCTTCAGGGCTTCAGCTTCCTCATCCATCCCGTGAGTGGCAGCGGTCAGGTAAGCTAGAGACTCTAAGAAGGTACATGGTACAGATGATGACATTTGTATAATACAAAAATTTGCATTCAATTGATCATAAAAATAAAAACAGTGACAAAACTCACTCTGCCCACAGTTCTTGAGGATCCGCACTCGCTCACTGACGTCACCCAGGTACAGAGCGCCCTGATAGTGTCCACTCATGTCCTTTCTTATCTCAGCTGTGTAGACATATCATATCATATATTTTTATTTAATACCATGTCAATACAAAATACAAAATCTATATATAATAAATATATACAATAAAAAAATAAATAAATATAATAAATATACAATAAAAAAACAAAAACAAATAAATTCATAAATTAGATTCTTCAGCTATGAAGACAAATGAGACAGTATTTTAAATAATGTCTGATATTTCGATTACTTATAATAGGCTTAACTTGCACGAAGTAATTTTTTTGCTTTTTTGTTACTTCAATCACAATAGGACTACACTAAACAAAATGTAAAGGGAGTGAAAAATGTTTCAAGCTTTTCCACTTGACCATTTTTTAGAGGTAGTCTGAAAAAAATTTAAAAATCAGATTTTTTAGTATTTCATAGAATAATTGCTCATTTGGTCAGCATCCAACAGTCATATTTGAGATATTTTTTTGTGAATTGCTCATGATCATTTTTGGTGCATTCTGCATTTTTATTCATGTAATTTTCATAAAAACTTAAACATCAGGCACTTACCTTCTAAAGGACACATGCAAAAATTTTAATTTGTCATTATTATAGTTTATGGAAAAGCCAACATGCTCCCATCAGACATGAATAGTGTTAAAGCTTTCAAAAGTTTTAAAGTTTATTTGTTCTATTGACTGGATTAACACGCCCTGTTCACATGAGCATTCACACATCGACTTGTTAAGAAACAAAATTACTAGACTATTTTAATAAGAAATAGACAAAAACGGTCATGTCAAACTTTGCAAATAATCAGCAAGTTAAAAAAAAAAGCCACGATCCAAAATACATCTCATCTGAGCACTTGTGATTAGGGGTCTCACTTATAAATTAGCCGTATAAACAAAACGGGGGTGAAAATGTGTGTACACCTCTTCCCCGCACAATAAAAAAACATGATGGGAAAATATGCACAACAAAGTAAACATTGAACTTAAATATTGACAATTTTACCACTTTAAGTCAACTTATGAGCAAATATCATCAATAAATCAATTGAAATCTATTCTGCTGTATGATAACATTTAGTAAGGTTTCTACGTAGAGTTTAATAAATGAGACCCCAGATATCTGAAAACCTATTAATCCCACTTGGGCTGCAGAATCCTAGAAAAATAAATCAACATCATGCATCAATGTTGTCACAAGAATATTAAGCAGGATATCTGTTTTTAATATTGCTAATAATCAAATCTTTTTCTCCAGAGCATTAATTAGCATGTTAGAATATTTCTCCTAAAGAGAGTCATTTTTCCTCGTCACTTACCGATCTTCATCATCTTCCTGAGCTTTGTCAGGTTGCCAGTGATGAGGTACAGAAATGTGAGCTTGTCAAAGTTCTTGGTTCTCTGGTAGCACATCTCCACCACCTGGTGATGGCCCTGCAGAAGTGCAGCCTCACCAAGACGCTCCCAACAGCTTCGCTCATCTAGGGCTTTTGCAGCCTCCAGCGCCACCTGGAGGAATAGTCGTTCAAATAAGCAGGTAATAAGAGGTAAAAGCGTTCAATCCTTCAACATCAAAAAGTGTCAATTCTTTGTACCTCAATGTTTCCACACTCCAGTGCCAAACTGAAACGAGTCTTCTCATCTTTGACGAAATGCAGCGCGACCTCTGGGTAGCCCTTCTTTTGTAGGTAGGCAATGATGGACTGGCCTACTAGCTTAGCATTACGCACCATGTGAAGAACCTGATGGTGTTTGGCAGAAAATAATGGGTCATTAACAGCATAGATAATCTGAATTAAACAAACTATTTTTAAAAAATCATAGTTGTTAAACTGAAATCAAGTTGACATTAAATAAAACAGAAATTAATCAATTACTTTGAAAAAATGTAAATAAAACAAAATAAAATTATAAAAATTGTTATTAAAAACAAAATCACTACAAAGATTTAAATAAACTTGAAATTAAATAAAACAAATACAAAAACAGCAAAATTAAATAGAAAACAGCTAAAATTAAATACATCACAATTGTACTAAAATAATATATGCAATTATTTAAAATATATGCAAATTTAACCTTTAATATCTAAATGCGTCATGTAGAAATTAAGCTAAATAAAAAAATTAAATGTCCAAACTGAAAAAAAATCTAAATTAAACAAATGTTAAAATATAAAATAAAAAGTGAATTTAAAAAACAAACAAGGTGCAAACCTGATTGCTGAACACTAACCTCTTCATATTTGCGGTTGACCAGAGCCAGTTTAAAGCGGTACTCGGTGGGGTCAATGTTAAGCACACGTGGTCTGCACTCCCGATCCAGGCAATAAACACTGTTACCCCTCACTCTTGTCACATAGATGGGCAGATCCAATGTACGGATTATACCATGATCGCTATGAGAAAAATTCAGTTAGAGACAAGCAACCTAATTTATCAACCAAGTAGCAGTGTTTTTACAATCAAAAGGCTGTTGGGGCAGTACCCAGAAGTCAGAGCATATTTGATATGGTTGGAGGTGGTGTAGATGAAGACTTCATTCTCAGCCCAGGCTCCACTCTTCACCCGGATGTTCTCATGGATGTTGCAGAGACTCTCTAACTTCTTGTTGCAGATCATGATGGCTGAAAAAGCAAAAGTGAAGGGTTGAATATGTGTCATATTATGATACACATAAGTGTCAATATTTAAATTAGATTAAACTCTCATCAAAGTTAAGTACTAAAACTATTAAGCAACAGCCATTTTTGTATTAGGACAATTTTCACTTCAAATGTTAACTACTGTATAAAAAAAAAAAAAAAACACAAGGCAAAAAAACACTTCTATAATAAAATGTAAGATCCAAATAACAGAAGATGTGAGAAACTAGCGAGTTCTGAGTACCATGTTTGGCCAGCAGGGCCACGTGGTTGGCGTCGGAGCTCCACACCACATATTTGACTTTGGCTATTTTGACCGTGGCCAGAGAGCGCTTCTGCTGGACATCAAATAGAGTGACTCCTTCAGCATCCCGCAGCAGGAGTGAGCCAGTTCCAGCATAGAAAATCTCCTCACAGCTCGGGACCTGGACCTTCTTCACAATCTCATTCTTCAGGTTTTTTATCAAGAGCTGTAGTGGTATAAGAGTCAGGATGAGCCTTGATGTTTTAGTGTGTGTACTATGGCTATGTACTGTAAAGGCAAGAGTTATGAAACGATATATCGAAATACTGTATTAAAAAAAAAAAAAAAGCAATATAGTGTCTAAGGAGATTTTTGTAATAGATCATAAACGATTTTTACTCCCTAAATTGTACAACTTCATAAAGACAAATATTTCAGCAGTACAATAACAGGAAAAATATTAAAGCACCTGCAGAATTATTAATGTAAACCAATTTTATATAGTGGAAATAGCTTTATGTACAGACTGTATATATTCTTAGATGCCGTTTTAGGATTTAAAACATAGCAATGTTTTTGATTTTAAATTGATTTTAACTCTCCAACAGGTTTTGAAAAATCTCAGACAAATGCCTGAAATCACAGGCAAATCGGTGCTTGTGAGCAACAATCACACATTGTGAACTAACAAAGATGCGACGTGATATATTTGGCATGCTAAAGATCTGGGGCTGTTGGTGATTCAACATCATGCCATGTGAAAAGTGTTCTGATTGAAAATAACATCAGCGATCACCTACAGTCAATGAGGGAGCAGCATTCACTAGTGTGGGTACTTGCAGGCCAGCGGGAGGTTGGGGTGGGGGTTAAAAGCGCTTATTTTCAGTTAATTTGCACCCAAGATTTAGATGAAAACTAGTGGAAATTTGACAGGAGCTCTCGTGTCTGTTTGACGTGTCATCTGAGCAATACCACAACTGGGTCGATAAAGAAAAAAAATTTAAGAGAAGTTGCTAATTCCCTTCAAACCCAGGTGAGCAAACAAAGTATATTTTTCTGACCCACTAAAGGCTTCTTTCTCATTATTTAGTTAATAACAAAAGGTAAAATATGTGACTGCGTTGTTTCCATGCAACTTCTTGCATGTTTGGTTGTGAGATGTAGTTTGGACAAAGCTGTTGGTGATTCTTCCTATTTGAACTCATGCAAACTAAGCAGCGATGAAACACTAACTCAGATAGTCATGCAGTATGAAAACATCTGTGACAACTATTTTGAAAGTCATACAGTCTGAACTCGGCATAACTCAAACTTTCAGGGAAAATGTTTTTAAGTAAGACTCAAAGTTGTTGCACTTTAAGTATTTAAACTTGAAATGTAATTTAAATATAAAATATAAAAAATACAGTTACATAAATGTTCTCTCAAGTGCTTGATTGGCTTACAGAGTGCATGCGGTCAAGTACAGCAAATCGGTTCCTGGCCACCCAAACTGCAGTCAGACCAGAGGAGCGTTTTCCCTCAGGAGCTGGAAACATACAGAAATAATGAAACTCCACATTTTGCACATAAAACAATAAGTTCTAAAGAGAAAGGTCCAAATGTTACCATCAGGATTCTGGGAGTCACTCTCTCTGGGAATGGAGTACAGATCATAGGTGCTGTTTTCCAAATTAGTAGCTCTCTAGAGAACAAGGAGAAAAAAAAATTTATCTTGATTTTAGGGGTCCAAAATGAAAATGTACTAATCATATACTTGCCATCTAGTATTTCAAATCATTTAGGAGTTTCTTTCTTCTGCTAAACACAAAGAGAAAAACCTGGAACCATTGTCACTTCCATAGTAGAAAAAAAACAATATTATGGAAGCCAATGATTATAGTTTTTCAGCTTCTTCAAAATATATCATTTTGTGTTCAGCAGAAAAAAGTAAAACATGATTGAAACAAGAAATGGGTGAGTGAATTATGACAGAATTTTCATTTTTTGGGTGAATCATCCTTATTTATGAATATACTTGAGCAGGGTACTCACAGTGCACAACAGCACAGCATTTTCCGCTGGGTTGTAGGACATGCTGAACACTGGGAATTTGGATCCACTGTGAAGATAAAAGAAACAGTTCAACTGAAGAATTCAAGTGCACACTATCAATTTTAGATACTTTCAGGGTCTATAAACTCAAAGCACAATCAAAAAAGGGACAAAACTGCACATACCTGCGTAGCTGCATCACAGCTGTATCTTTACTGCTGTTAAAGTCGAGCTGACGCAGGAAACGATCCTTTACATAGTAAAGCATGTTGCCATACACTGCATAAGCTGGACGTTCCCTTTCCAGTTTAAACACCAGCATTCCACTGTCATGGCCTACGAAGTTACATAAAAGCAGTCAAATGTGGAACATTTAATCGCCCCAAAAAACACCCGATCAACATGATTAGTAATCTACCAGCAGCAAACAGGTTGAGGTTGGGGTGAGCACCCAGAACCCAGAAGCGGTCGTGATCTCTGCGAAAGGTCTGGACGCCTGTTCTCTTGGACATATCCCACACACGGATGCTCTTGTCCTCAGAGTTGGACAGGATGAGCTCCTGACGGGGGTGAAACACCGCACAGGACACATTGTTGTAGTGTCCTCGACAGGTGTCCAACTCCCATGCTTTAGACTCTAGAGGAGGGGATAATAAACAATAGAATTAATTCTACTAATAGGGTGAATTTGTTTGATACGCAATGTCTGACAGGATAGCCTGTTTTAAGGAAAACAAAGATATTTAAAACTTTAGACAGAGCTGTAGAATATAATACTTTTATAATTCAAATTGAGCAATTCTGCATCGACGAACAAAAACCAAATAATTTTAATACGTTTTTAAATAATGTAATTAAACAGGCCTATCATGCATACATCATACATAAGTTTAATTGTAGAAAATGTACTTGTTTATCTAGTATACTTCAGGGTTTCCCCTATCTTTATATCAGGGGGGCGACCCGCCCTACCAACGGCTTTCCCAGCCCCCTTGAAGTCAAGTTAATTTTATTTTTTTAAAGTGCCAGATCACAACTTTTTAATAGCTGCATGTAATACCTTACTTACACAATGACATGAACGGCTCGAAATTGCGACCATTGTGGTCGCATATGCGCCCGAAATTTAATCTATGCGACCTTATAATATATTTGGAAGCATTTGTGCGACTGCATATAATGGTTGTAGTGTGACCTGTTGATTTTTTCTTTTCTAAAAACGTGCTGAATCGGTCTTCCCTAACACTATATTGGTTCATATTAGCTGTCAATCACTCAAGGCTTTACGCTGTCAGATGACAGGGAGCTTCTGTGACCGAGGGTAATGCAAATGGCTGAAGTTTAAGAAACAAGCGATGAAACATACACAGATTTGCAAACCCACCCAAAGTTACAAGTAATATTGCTGATGAAAATGATCATGCTATGAATGTTGATTCGCAAGCCGAGACCAATCAAGTGTTTTCTGAGAGAGTGCTGAAACACTCGGTGACGATCAGCTGTTTTAATGGCCGGAATCTCGATGCACTGCATTCACTGCGTTAACCCTAACAAAAAATAACTATATTGTTGAAGTGTTTAGACAGCAAAGAGACGCGATGCTGTGTTGCCAACTGTAATTAAAACAAGTGGAAAAAGAATTGTTTAGAGACATGGGTTGTCAGTGTTGCATTTATAAAGGTGCTGCAACAAAGGTTTTGTTTCCATTTCCCTGCTATGGGAGCTAAGCTGAACTGACCTGGGGAATACATTGGTTTGTTAACACGCAACACAAATGTGTTTGTAAGGTTTTACCCGAGAGCTTTTCGCATCTGGAAATAGAAAAATCCGGATTTGCCACTCGTCTTCTTTTAAAAAGAGGATGCAGTTCCAGTACAGTTGGTGTTGATTGTTCTGTCTGTACAGATTTGGGAAGTGTGCGATCAGTGTTCTTCATATACGTTTATTGAGATGACAAAGTAAGTTAGTATCATCAGCAGTACTCTTTCGATTTTTAAAGACGTACCTTAGTCAAAATAATTTAGTTACTAAGTTTACAGTACGCTAATATCACTACAATATTATGGACTGAAAGATCTGCAGTAAATGCTGCTTTTCGCATGTAAACATGTAAACACCGCAATCAAACTGTTACCGTTGTGTAGGATTTTCGCCGCATTTCATGGTAGGGTAGTCTATACACACATGGCTGTTTGATGCTATTCTCTGCACCTACCGAGTGCATTTAAGTTACCGAGAAACACAGAGGTTTTTTCTCCCATCCAGTGTGCAGTATCAAAAATTCCATTAAAACAACACCAGCAGTTCCTCGCATCCGTTTGTCACGGGGGGCATGCATGTTCCCAAACGAAAATGAAAGTGCCAAACTGCAGTTAAAGTTGATAAATTAAGAATAACACGAAATTACACAAAACTCTGGAGTAATTGTGGACAGCGTGGTGACGCAAAGGCCTAATATGTATTTGTTCATGGCCCATTATTGTAGTAATGATTTATTATTGATTAATTATTCATTATTAAGTGAGTGGGAGAAAAATATCCAAACAATAAGAATTAAAGAAAGCAACATTGGCTGCGTACACATAATTTGACATTGTACAAGTGGTTGGTACAACTTTAAGACATTATAATGTTGGAGTTATCCACAGCGTGAGTGAACTTGGTGCAAATGAGTACATTAAAGATCTGGACTTTAGCTGCTGACAAAATCTCCTTGTTTATTGCACAAAGAAATGATCAAGATCCAGAATGATTGCCTTGCTTTGTATAACTGATATTTGATACTGTATTCTGTTCTTGTTTTTATGTTAACTTCTATTCATTGGATTACCCAGTTTTAAAGGGCCATGAAAACCCCTCGTTTCAGCAGGGTGTTTTCACACCTCTACTTTGGAAAAAGTCAGAAAAGTGGGCGTGTCCAGCTCTGTTTAGAGGGGAGTGTCGGAGGAACTAAAGTGGGAGGGTGTGGGAGTGTCTATTTGGGCACGCGCGAGTTTCAGTCAAAATACACACAGGAGAAAGTGATGGTGTTTAACCTACATGGACATATGTAGTCGAATTATTTGCCAAATTATTAAATGTTCGACTTTAACTGCAGTTTGGCTCTTTCATTCAGGGAATTCATTCATGCCCCTCACGACAAACGAGATATTTGATTCGAGAGAACTGATCTAAGTGTGTATTTTTCATGCAATGTTTGATACCGCACGGCGAATGAGAGAAAAAAAATAACTCAGCATTTCCCGGAAACTTAGATGCACACGGCAGGTAGCGTCAGAAAGCCGCGTGTGTTATTCCGGTCACAAAATGCGGTGCTAACATGTTTAGTGCAATAGTTAACTTAATTCGATACGAACAAACTGAATAAACAAAGAGCACTGGTAGCTCACTTACCAAATCTGTAGAGACAGGACAATCACCAGCAACTAGAGCCGCGTCTTTATGAAGAGAAGACTACAAGCGAATCCGGATTTCAGCGTTTGCAGATGAGAACAGCTCTCAGGTAAACAATAATCCTCCTTAGACACGCAAGTTATTGTTGTTGAGCGTCGCGTACACTGTTAATCCACACGTGATCCAGATGAGCTCTCACAGAGAGAAAATGAAAACGAAACTTAATGGCAGCAAACTATAAAAGCAACACTTCACGCTTGTTTTGCCAACCCAACGTGGCGTCTCTGTGGTGTAACACGGTGACCCTAATGAATATTAATGAAGTTGCACAATAGAGCGCGCTGATTGGTTTGACCCAAGCCTTACTCATGCATTAATGCATCACACTGTAAGACGTAATAAGACTCACTCTGGCACAGACGCCCAGTCTGCACGCTGGAATACAACGCTATTATGTCATGACCGTGACGCAGCTTCAAAAATTCATTTCAAACCGGAAGTACGAATTTGCTTGAAATAACGCAAAAACAACCAATTTACAATTTTTTGTGAAATATAGGTGTCCTAATAGTGTTTTTAGCAGTGTGGGACACATATACGACTGTCAACAGCTCAAAAAATGTGTTTTGGTGTTTCGTGACCCTTTAAGAGACCGCAGGGGAGGGGGGTGGGGGTGTTTGAATTAATACGTTTCATTATATAGTTTTTTCAGCCTGTATGTTTTGTAAACAATTAATTAATAATAATAATAATAAAAAAATTAAAGAAAGAAAAAATTCTGATCAATAACTGACATTTTTCCATACAATTAAACATACCATTCATCCTCCAAATCTTCACCTGCCGGTCATCGGCTCCTGACACAATAAGAGGCATGCTAGGATGGAAAGCTGCCCAGTTTACGCCTCGATCATGACCCTGAGACCAGAGAAGCAGAACATAAACATTCGTTCAATCCAACAACAAACTTCTTTCATTCAAACCCAAAAAACTGGAGGTGTTTTTAAAGCTCTACAGCCACGTTTTTTACCTCCAGAACATGTTTGACTACTGCATCAGAGGCTCCAAACAGGTCGACACCAGAGATGCCGCGCACCTCAGTGTCCACAGCACCCGGAGATAAGTTCTTCTTTCTCAGACCTGGAAGCAACATTTACAGTCCGACACACACAGGGGACCCATTTACAAATTACACAGGAACACCCACAAAGCAGGGAGGGAAGAGAGAGAAACACCGTTAAAACTGCTGCTTTAAAATGCATTTGTGACAGTAAAAACAAACATTTTGTTGGGCTGCTAAACATAAGCTGGTGCTTGAGAACACAAAACACGACATACAGCCTCCATTAGGTCTAAACCCGAGTTAAACGATAGATCACTTAAAAATGTCCCCTCAATTTGGTTAAAACCTGTTTGAATATCCTTTCTCTACTGAACACAAGAGACAACACTGAAGAGTTTTGGAAACTGTAGCCACTGAATTCCATAGTATTTATTCTTTTCAAACCATATATATAAATGGCAACCGTTTACCAACATCCCTCAAAGTATCTTAATTTGTGTTTAACAAAGAAAAAATACCTCAATGCTCTAGATTTGTCATTTTTAAGTGAACTATCCCCTTTAAGGTAGCAGAGCAAAGTTAACAAACAAAACAAAGACAACAATCATTCAAAACACAACAGCTCAATTGTGATTACTCAGAGATCAATATATTTTCCCATTTGGTTGGATGAGTGTAAATCAACAGCAGAAAGATATGATTGGCTGAACTCAGGTGAGAAAAGAAAAGGAGAGCAGACTGTGTGTCTGAAATCTCAGCACTCTAAACGGTTGCTAAATGAATAGAAGTCCAACAAAAGCTGCACTAGAAATCAATGCACAGGTGTGGATGTTTCCAGAGGGAGCTGCACAGGAAGTGAGCAGGGATGGATCTGACTGGTGGATTGATGGGGTGGAGCGTGTCGAAATGTTCTCTGGAGGGGCGCTGGATGTTAGAGGAGTGACGAAGACTTTAGTTAAGTCATGCATCTGTTACTGAATATTAAAATGCATTTATAGATGGATTATGATCATGCATTTATGTCTTAAAAGTTTATACTGTATATGTACATATGGAAAAGAAATTAAGAAAAATGTAATTAATTCTCAGTTTCTCTGAATTTATGATTCATAAGTCATGGGTTTCAGTAAAAAAAAAAAATGTAATTATGTAAACTACTCGTGCCACTCATTCAAATGTTAAAACAGGGTTTCAAGAAGTCAAATTTAAGACTCGTTTAAAGAAAAATTTAAATGACATTTAAGATATTTTTAAGACCATTATGAATTTTAGACTTACACAAGACTAAATGCTAAGGACTTTTTTTAATGGCCCAGTTAAAACGTACAAAAAACAAATGTTATTGTAAGAAAGATACTTGAACCATTGGCAAATAGAGTTAATAAATAAGCTTTTGTTAAAGCTTTTATTGAGATAGAATGTTAGTGATTGGACAGGTTTTAGTCTGATATGGGTAGCTTTACATGGAAAATTGGAAAATTAAGACATATTAAAAATGATTTAAGACCTAAATTGCAATTTTCAGTTAATTTAGAAAATTTCGATTTTGATAAGACATTTTAAGATCCCGGGGACACCCAGTAAAATAAGTCATATAATCTATTTTCTTTGGCAAACTACTTACTCCCAGGGCCGTTTATATCCAAGTTGATATTTAGCAGCACCATCTTGGCGTTTCATAACATCTAATTTTATGAGGTGCGTCATTAACCCAATGCTCAGCTCCCAACCTACATAAAAGACTTAATTAGATTTACTTTCTGAAGCCTGATTAATACTCTACGTGTTTGCTAGTTTGCTTGAGTGCACGCGGCGAATGTGACATCATCACCGTGTTTGCAGAGGTCCGCTTTGGGTGCGTGCAACATAATTTCAGCTAGCGGAGCGCCCATTTTTTTTTTTTTTTTAAGACTCGAGCGTACAGTTCACCCGGCACAGAGTTTGATTTGAGTGGAAAAGTGGAGACCCAGGAACACAATTATAGAATATGTTTTTCCACTATTTATATGTTTTACACTGATGTATATATTACAATTTTGAATTTAAAAAACTAGAATTAAAGGAACAAATTATTTCTTTGATAACTGGAAAGAAATATTTAAACCTATTGGTAGGTTATATACTGATAATATATTGATGCCCTGTTTTTCTAGGCTTTACTGGTGATAATGGTGAGATATGTAGGACCATTATTGCCTTTTTATAATATCAGTAGGACAGAAACAAGGCAGACAGTAAACAAATCAATTGTGGAGCAGGTTATATCTAAAAAAAAAAAAAAAAAATTAAAAAACATCTGCATTTTTTAGGAAGTGTACTTTTTTTGCTTATAATAAATTATTGCCATAATAAAAAATATATATGTGGAGCATCCAGTGTTCTGTATTTTAAAAAGCTTTAAACAGTAAAACTATCCGAGATATGAACAAAAGCAAGTGATGCATCAAGATATGATTAAACAAAAATCTTAAATAGTTATAAAAATCCTTGTAATCATTCAATTAATTTATAAAAATAATAAAAATAAATAGTTTAAAAATCTTGAATAATATTAATGATATAATGTAGTTCTGGAAACTTTCTACGTCTCTGTTTATCCATCTGATTTTACAGTGTTTCTTTTGACTGCACACTGCTGTTTTAAAGAATATCTCAACAGCAAAAGGTATAAAAGCCTTGTCTATTTCGTGAGGTGAGTGCGCAGTCAGCGGAGGTCTGCGACGCAGCACCAAGTGAAGGTATAAATCAGCCTTGAGAGCACAAAACTGACTGTTTTAAATTCAGAAAAGTCAAGAGATCAATATTTGTTGAATAACCTTGAACAAAGAATTATTCTGTGATTTTCAGAAGAAAAGTTGAAAATACATACTGTTTTAAAGCATTATTATCAGATTCAGACCTTTATAGAATAAAACAAATCCTTACTAAAACCAGTAACTAATAAAACAAGTAAATCCAGCAAAACTGAGAATTTAATTCATTTTTTCCCATAATTGGTTACATATACAAAGTAATATTATTTATTCATTAATCCTTTTTAAATAAATTAAAGTGAGTGTTAAAGCTAAAATGGTAAAGAACTACGGTGTTATATTAAACAATGCAATATACAAACTGTAATATATATTATAATTACATTTAAAATCTTTTAATTATTCATGCAGCAATACATCAATTTCAAACTTTCACACGAAAAGAAATAGATAGAGCAAAAACTTTATATATTTAGTGTTTAGTAATGAGTATTTGTTGTCAGTCAGTGCAGAATAAAGCAGTTTTAAAGGTTAATAAGCAGGAAAGCAGAGGACACAGACATAAACAACCTTAAAACATGCAGAATCTCAAAAACACCTCTAACATTCACCTGTGTTATGAATGAATTGTTCCATGAAAGCATCACCTAAGTGATGTTATCTTCCCAAGGATATATCGATCAAATCACAAGACAAACATTAGAGGTATTTTTGCTTTGAGCCCACAGAGTTTTGTTCTCTACACAATGTAAAAAGAGGACATGAGGAAGACAATGACATAAAGCTGCCTTCATCTTCCTCCATCTTCTCTTTCTGCATTCCCACCTCCCCAACCTTCCCAAAACACTCAATCCTGTTCCAAGCCTCCTCACCGGAAATATCCCACACGCGCACAGTCTGATCCAAGCTTGCCGACACCACCAGGTCCTCAGAGGGATGGAACTGTGCGCACATCACATAATGATTATGTCCCGTCAGCACACTACAGAGAAGAGACAGCACAGATGGAGAGAAATGTTTTAGTGCTTTGAGAGAAAACATTTTTGACAAACATTTTGTTCATAAAATGGGAAATTTTAATACCTTTAAAAATGAATTAGCACGTACAAGTATGTATGATATGAATTAGAAACCTTACAAAAGACGAACATTAATTTAAATGTACATCATTCCTAATGAGTTATAAAATAACACTACACTTAAAAAAAAAATAAAAATAAAAAATAAAAATCACAGAGGAGTAAATAGTTGGCTTTAATGTTTTTTTTAATCCATTCTGTTGATCTCAGAGTCGGACAACAACACTTAGCTTGATTATTGAATCATATTAGACTTTTTTAGAACCCGTTTTGATAATGGTCCTAATTAAAGCTGAACTCTCCCCAGTTAGCAAAGACTTCTGGCCCAGATTTGGCATAAAGCTGACACATCAGGCATTTATTCAGCACTGGCATACAGCTTGTGGGCCAAACATGGCCTGGGTTTGGCAGAGGTGACACAGTCTTTAAGGGGGTACACAATACTTAGGCCATATAGATAATGTAGTATTTGACCCACATGTTAATAATTGATATGTGGGCCATGTATGTTTGGCCAATCTTGACCCACATTTAAAAAAAATAATAAATAAAAAAATAATATATATATATATATATTTATATATTTATTTATTTATTTAATTAATTAATTTTTTTTATAAAAAATAAATCAAATAAATCAAAAATTAAATAAAAAAATGTAAAAATAAAATAAAATAAAATCTACCAATCAGGTCGCTTTGGCAAAAAGCAAGCTCATAGTGTGCGCCTAAATCAAAATTAAACCAAATCCCTTTTTTTGTCACATCATCAGCAGCAAAAAATTGAAAAGACAAAATACAACGACATACAACAGCATACTCCCAAAAAAACAGAACAATGTAAAATTGGCAGTGTTGACAGCGATGTGTACAATGAATAGGTGTATACATAATCGTAGGCAGTATTGTTTTAAGTATTAAAGTACAATGCTTCATGGGTTTATCAATTTCATTGCAGTCGTGATACATCAACATATCTGGCCCATTTAGGCCCAGTTATGGTTTATTAACTTGGCTGAGATTTGGGCCAGTTACAGCCCATGTTTGGCCCTTGTCTGGAAGCCAGACTTGGTCCAGTGATGTACCATAAATCACTGCAGCATGTGGGCCAAGCAAAAAATGATTGTGTGGGCCAGAGATGCTATGTGGGTTACATTGTCTGTAGTTACATTATGTACCAAGACTGACAGAAACGGATAACATTTCTGCTGTAACATGGCTGCAATAAACACAATGACATCACACAATACAAAAAAATATTCACCAGCTAGATTAACAGTGCTGCGTAATATCATTTCTTGGCTACAAGCCATGTTACAGCAGAAAAGTTATTCCTAGAGTATAGTTCTGGCTTAGAAAATAGCAACTTTAAAATTTTAAATTTAGCCACTTTAGTGGGAAATCACGCTTTTGCACGGTTCAATGAAACTAAACCTAGTGTGAGCACAGCCTAAAAAAACTGCATGTCTGGTGGTGGTGTGAAGAAACCCCCTCATGATTGTGAAGCGCTTTGGGTTTAGGCCATACACAATAAATGTGCTATATAAATAAACATTACATGTCACAACAGAAGAGTAGTTAAATAGGAAAATGACCAAAATAGGAAAATAAAAAACTCTTTTTTTGCTTTTTGGGAGTGAGATGCCAATGTTCTAATCTGTATCATGATTTATTTTTTTCATCACTAATTTAGGTGCTTTCACCAGACCCGGAAATCAGCTGAATAGATTAAAAAAAGAAATTCACAGCGCACAGCTAAAACTCGACTATATTAAGCCGCCTTTCCACTGCACACGACAAACGACAAGCAACAGACCGGAAGTCATTCATTTCCAATGGAGAGCAGTCCGGGAGCTGCGTTGAATTCCGATCATCTCCGTATGCGGAAAATTCGGATCCGAATTGAACTGCGGATCCGTTGAAATACTTGAACTCCTGCGACTAGACCGTATGCAACCTGTCGACCGGATATGATGTATTCCAGTGTTGTCCAAGCAGATCAGTGCGTGCAAGATGAGAAATATGAGTTTATTTGGTTATTTTTTTAATTATAAAAAGTCTATATTAAAAGAAAAACTTTTCTGTTCATAAATGTAAGAAAGAAATAAGAAAATATATTTTTAATGTTGTCTCCACATTCCCTCCAATATTTTAGCAGTCCATGAGTTTCTAGTATTCATTCATCCATTAAACCATGTAAACGCACAGAGAATAAAGGCTTTTGCTTTTGCCCTCCTTTATTTCGGACACCGTGAGAATCAGCTTCTCTCCCCCGTGGTGCACGACAACACTGAAAATACAGTGCGGCTGCCACAAGGGAGCGTATTCCGACAGTTGTGTCCAAATGTTGTGTGCAGTGGAAAGGCGGCTTTAGTCTAAGTGACTTGTACAATAAGCCTATGACAACCAACAATTTCCTTTTAATAAACTGTAAAATGCAAGAATACTTTGCATTTCCACTAGTTATACTAAACCTTTACACAAACTCACCAGACACACGTCCTGGACTGCCAGTTCCAAATACGAATAGTCTGATCATCTGAAGCACTCAAGATCCAGGGGTACTCCTGAAGAAGGTAAATAGATGTTTATCTCTTGAGGCATTTATTAAGTAAACATTACTGAAAATTATTAAATTGCATCACAAAGTTGACAGAACTCACATGGTGGAAGAATGTGGTGCGAATGTAGTCAAGATGTCCAAGAAGAGTGAAAAGACATCGACGCAGCTTGTAGTTCCAAACCTAAAAAAGAAACAAGATTTATTTATGAAATTTATTTATTTATTTACTCAATTTCAGTTCAATTTCATCATTCAAACAGTCTCATTTAAATAAAATATTGACATTAATTTACCACTTGTTTTTTTAAATAGTCAGCTTACAAAAATAATCATATTTAAAATAATAAAAATAATAATATACAGTTTTATAAATTTCAGCAAAAATGGATTGTAAAAGAAGACAACTAATTTATTGGTCAAAGGGAAGTCAAATTTTGCTGATAAATTTCTATTATTTTTGTAATTATATTTAAATCAAATGCCTTTAAAAATGAATTTGTAAAAATATACTAGTAATACGATGTACTATTCATTGACAGTCATGATAATGTGCTTTGACATACCAGTGGGAACTTATTGAATGATGGAATCTAACATTGAAATTTGTTTATTAAAAACAATACGGAAGGACCAAACCTTGATCTTGTAGTCATCTCCTCCAGACACAAACAGAGGCTGCTGCTTATGAAAGTCAATACCTCTGACTGGACCTAAACCAATTCACAAAATCATAAGTGCTCAGCAAAATGACTATGAATCATAGCTATTGATCAGCTATTTCATACCATCGTGTTCATCAAACTTGTCGATTAGAGTGCACATGCGATAATCCCACAGCTGGATGACACCATTGTGCAAACTAGCGAGTATCCAGGGCCGCTTTGGATGGAAACTCAGCCCTGTAGAAGATGACAATGTTTTCATTAATGTAAGAGACAAATTTTTTGACTTTTCATGATAAATTTTTTTAGTCTAGTGGAAGAAAAAAAACAAGATCAATTTTAAGTTTGTTATTTTGCATCTGTTCATACGTTTATAAATGGCATTTTCTCTCCTGCACCGAGCCATACGTGTCCCCTTTACAAACAAAATAATAATAACTTCCTGGCTTTTCACAATAATTATTAAAATTACGCAGTGATAGAAAAACACAGCTTTGTAAAAAATTATAAACAGAAAATTATATATAATTAATAATAGGGATACTCTGATCAGGATTTTTGGAGCAGATACTGAGTACCGATTCCTCTTCATGGTAATTGGCTGATACATTTCAATGCTTCAAGCTTTAAATAACTTTAACGTTACATACAGCACATTTTCCCTTAAAGTACGATACTTAAGTGGAGATCTCTCCTTTCCTTAGAGAACAAATGAAGGATGTCGCATATAATCCCTCAAACATGTCTCATACTATTTAGTGTGGACAAGTCACGGTCAGAAGCAGTTTTAGAGAAAATTATTGCTTAAACAGATAAAAACATTTAGAAGAAAAATGCAAACAAAGCAATTTGGAAACAAACATTATATATAAAATATATATTGTGCAGCTCTAGTTTTAATAAACATATAATAATGGTAAAGTTGGTTTTATATTCACACATATGCACTTTCTTCTTAATCATATAATTTCAGAAAAAGTATTCTTTGCAGATTCTAAATAGTGAAATCACATTAGCAGCCAATGACTATCAAAGTACAAAATCGTTCATAGTCAGTTAAATAGAGCTAATGCTGTATTGAAGTCATATTTCAACCTGATTTCATGCTGATTAGTCAAAGGTTTTAAAAGAGATTGTTGTCACTGTTCAAAAATGAACAAATGTAAAACCAAGTTCACCTCAATAAACATTATTACAAAACTAAAAATATGTTAGCAATTCTTAATGTAATCGATTCACCTGTGCCTTATCTTATAAAGACAGTCAAATGAACAGTGTATTCGGAGAGAATCATGAATACACTCATTAAATCTTATTATTATCATTATCATCTATTCTTTATTTAAAATGACAGTCTTGGCAAATTATTGTCATGACTAAAACGAGAGATGAAAATCTCTACTGCGGCGTCTGGACGGCTAACTAAAGTTAGCGCTTTGCTAACGCTGAATGCCATACAGTGTTCAAAATGTTCTAAACCAAATCATTGCTGAAAAAAACAACAGATTATATCCTACACACATTAAGAATATAAAATTTGAAAATTTACAAAACAATAGGCCTCAAGAAATACACCACACAGGAGTAAAGTGAAGCTAGCAAGCAAGAGCGGATATCATACCTTTCACTCGGGCCGACTTTGTCTCAAATTTGGTCAACATCTCCACTGATAATGTAAAATTAACAGGAATGTGTTATGTGTGAAGATATTGATCCGTTTATGCGAATTAGAAGCCTAAAATCATCCCCCGGTAGGAAGGGACTTTGCGTGTTTGATTCTGCAGCTCCACTTCCGTAGCTGACACGTCTACTCAATCCACTCAACACGGGCCTTGGCTTGCTCTCGTGCGCGAGCAAATAAAGTTTTTACGATTCAAATGCCAGCATCGCAAGCTCCACGTCACAGAGGCTTCGTCATCCTTTATCCACAAGCACAATTTTTCCCCACATAATTATATCATTTGGCACAACAAAGATAACAAAAATAAGTCCATTTACTTAAATAATTGGGTAAAAATAATATAGTTTATTTTAGACAATTATTTATTAACAGAGCAGTGCCTTTTAAACATGTGGATTTTTTTGTCCCATTATAAATACCCAATTACAGCTAAAGAATTAGCATGATATTGATTTTGGAGTAATCCCTTCTGGGATTATTATGCTTATGAGGGGATATGACAATCAGTCTCCCCAGGTTGTGCCACATCTAAATGTGTTAAAAACAGCTCTTGGTAAATTACTATTTACCACAAAGCCAAATAACAAAAATAACCGCTCTGTTTCAGCGAGAGATAATCTCTTGAGCCAATGCTGTCTATTATTGGAACAGGTATTAACTGGAAAAGAGTATGGACTTTACCTCAGAGACAATACATAGGTGCTATCCTACAAAGTTTTTTTTTTTTTTAATGAAGGTTTATTTCTGAAGATTTTGATGTAAATTGCAAAACTGTAGATCACCAAACTGAAGATCTGTCTCACCTTTTTTGGAATTGTGAGTAAACCAAAATTTATTGTAAAAATGTATTAGGTATATTTAGTGGTATAATTTCTGATGTTATGTTAAAATATGAAAATGTTATTTTAGGATATAACTATAAGAATCAACATCCAGATGTTTTTTATTTATTTAATTTTATCATATTTTTGACCAAATATTTTATACACAAGTATACATTTTGTAAGCGTAAACAACCTTTCTTTCAGGTTTTTCTTGAAGATCTAAATCGTTATATGTCTTTGATTTCTGAATGTAACACGAAAGCTGTAAAAACTGTGAATCTGTTTAAAAGATACATTTCTGTTTTGCTTCCTGGCATGTAATGTGATATAATGTAATTTAAATGTTTCATTTTGTTTTAATAATGAAAAAAAAATGTATTAGTCATTTTCTGGAAGAATAAAATCCATTATGTTTAGAAATCTGTTATTATGAGCAAGTATGAATAAGGAGGGTTGCATTTTCTTGATTTTTCATCTTTAAAGAATACTTTCAAAGTTAACTGGATTAGGTACTTTATAAGTAACCCAAACTCAGTTTGGAATTTTATCCTCAATTACTTTTTTTTTTAAACTGGGAGGTCTCCCTTTTCTATTGATTTGTAACTATAATATTGCTAGTATCCCTTGTAAATTATCCAATTTTCATAAGCAAAGCATTACTTGCATGGTCACTAATTTACAAATGTGCAAAGCAGTGGCACAGTAGGTAGTGCTGTCGCCTCACAGCAAAAAGAGCGTTGGGTCGCTGGTTCAAGCATCGACTCAGTTGACATTTCTGCGTGGAATTTGCATGTTCTCCCTGCGTTTGCGTGGGTTTCCTCTGGGTGCTTCAGTTTCCCCCACAGTCCAAAGACCTGTGGTACAGGTGAATTGCGTAGGCTTAATTGTCTGTAGTGTGTGAGTGTGTGTGAATGTGTGTCTGGATGTTTCCCAGAGATGGGTTGCGGCTGGAAGGGCATCCGCTGCATACAAAAAACTTACTGGATAAGTTGGCAGTTCATTCTGCTGTGGTGACCCTGGATTAATAAAGGGACTAAGCCGACAAGAAAATAAATGAATGAAATAATTACAAACACTTTTTTTTCTCTCATCAGTATTTTATCTGGAACTATCAGGACATTTTGTATAAAAGCAAATCTTTATTTTTAAATGGTTATTTAACAGTTATTTAATTCAGAAGGTCTTCTCTTAAATTATAAAGAGTTTTTTTTATAAATATAACTCCAAAAGAATTTGCCATTGTAATGGATGCAATTCCTAAAAGCAGGTTTAATGCTTTTGAGAGGCCATGATGGAGTATCCAGTGTTTCATCTGTTCCATTGCACACTGAAACTTCAGTAGGAAAAAAAAAATTTGTCACAACCTTCCTCACGTAAATACAAAATCAGGTCTCTCTTTCAAATGGAAATTGTAACAATTCCATATGTGAAGTTTTTTTTTGATGGACCAGATTCAAGGGAAAAAAGTTTGGTGTTTGTCTGTAAAATATGTAATAACTAACAAAATGAGAGAATTTGCATTTCAACTGTTTCACAGGTTTTGCCCAGACAAAACATTTCTGAAAAAATTTGATTCGGAAAGCTGCTCTTTCTGTAATATACCCAGTGAAACTGCTGATCATATTTATTGGAATTTCCATCATACACAATGCTTTTGAACTGAACTTTCTTTGATTATTCATGTCAAAATACTATTGGGATTCTCGTTATCTTTTAGGGATATCCGTTTTTTATAGTCCTGATGATAAAAGTAAGAAATATTTCATTAATAATTAACCTCCTTTTAATTCTTGCAAAATTCAATATACACCAAATTCTCTCAACGTATACCTTGTTTTATTGTTTTGAAAAGGAACTTCAACAGTAGATTAGAGCTTTTGCTTCCTCTAAAAATCTTAAAGCTATTACAACTGTTAACTTTTTTCCTTTTAAGTTTGTTTGACACATGATTTTATATTTATTTTTTCTCTTGTATGTGCTTATTTAATTGTTTACTTCTCTGTAAAACCCATGTACACTCTACATAACAAATCTGTATGATGCTGCTATTGTTACCCTGACATTATTAAAAAAAATAAATCAATCAAAATGATTCGTCGTTTTCATAGGCAGGCTCTTATATGTTGGATTCTTCTAAACAAACCATTTTTCTCCCTATTAACAAATAACTAATATGGAATAATAAAACTCATTTATAAGAACAAATCAATATCTTATATATTAGAACACTAGTATTTTCACCAGCTGAAATAATTTAAATTATTTTAAGTCAGTTGTTTTATATTGTACTGTGTCATTAGAAAATATTAGCTTACGTTTTACTTTGCTATTTATTGTAATAATGCAGTGTGATTTTTGTTTAGGAGTTTGACAGCAGCCAATGTTGCTCCACATCAGATAATTCAGGTGAACTGAAGAACATCTCCAAAGACACGTCAAGAAGCCTGCCTGCAAAGCTTCTGGAAACTGAAAAATTATAGATTTGTGTAAATTTGCTTTATATCGAATTATACAGTTTTGATTATACATACTATTTCATGTTGAATTTGCTTTTATTAATTAATCTTTTTAGATATAATGTATTATTTTATTTTACTTTATTGTATAGAATTTGTACTATTCTAATAATGTGTAATTCATTACTTTTTATAAACTGTTTTTGTTAACTGTTGTAAAATTATTTTTAATAAAGGCGATACATTTATTGATAATACATCACTCATTATATTCTAAAATAGACATTGCAAGTTTGAGCTTACTTACCTCTAGGTAACTAGTTTTTTCACTCCATAAAATTATGATCAGTTATATACAATAAATAGAAGCGTTATTGTATTTCATAGGCCGAAGCCTGTATTTTGAGACACAAAGTTGTGACTACATTGCTCTCTTGTGGCTTAAACTGAAATATATTTTATTTTTAGATATTATATACAGGTTTTGATACAGATTAATTTACTATGTGCCTGAAAAATAAGACGTATAAGCATACAAAATAGAATATAAACATACAAAAGTTATTCGAACAAAAAATAAAAATTGCTATTATTTATATACTAAAACGATAGCGTTACATGGACCGCAATCCTTAACAGAATTATTATTATTAATATTATTATTATTATTATATTCTGCACTAATTCTTCATTGTTTCAAGGAAATCTCGCACTGCAATCGAATATGACGGCGCGGTGGCGTTGCTGTGGTTACTACAGTCAGTGGCGTTCTACAAAAAGAATGTGTTCGAAAAACCGTCGATGACGTTGAGAAGCTAGTGTGACCTTCATTAAGTGTCTGGCCATCGCTGATATTAGCGGTAGGTAAAGATCTTTCTTAAAGTATAATTTTACATTATTAGGCTATATTTGGTTGTTTTGCCGTGCTTTCGGTGAAGGACACCGAATGATTTTAGTGTTTTTCTCGGGCATATCGTTTCATATCGCGTTGTCAGGTTGGTACACCGGTATATTTGTGTTTGTTTGTACGCTTCATTTTGTATAATGCTATCTTGTTTAACATTTGCAGATTGTTATTGGTTAAATCATGAGATAAATTGATCTGTTATAATGTATTTGTAATGTATTACTGTTGTGTTATTTATTTGTCATTTATGCTGTCGGCCTGTTCAACATTTGTAGCTTTTGATTGTTATTTGTTCTATTGACAGTTTTACTAATTATTGTAACACATTTACCTGTTCTAAGTTTAAAGATTGTCATCTTGTAGAGTATATATTTATAGCTGTGAAATGCTATTTGTTAGTGTTAGAACAGAACCAGACTGGAGACAATGGTAGATGAAACTTCCAAAGAATGGTATTAAGTTTTATTAATGACTTCATGTCTTTCTATTATATTTTACAGATTGGAATGGACCACATGAAGAAAAAAGGGAATTACACACCTCAGCAAAGATTGGAAATTGATGGTCAGGAATATATTTTAAAATCCAGATGGACGGGTGCATCGATGGACGTCCTTCCAAGATGAAAGATGAGTGGTTCTCAAACTTTTTCACCTCAGAAAGAAGTTTTCTCTCCAAATACTACCAAATGACATAGAAATATAGTAGCGTAAAAGACCTAATTAAACAGCCACAGGTCTGCACAGTTCAAAAACAAGGCAGATTTAGTCTTAAAAACAATATCAGCCACTTTAAACGTTATAAATTGAACATTAACACTGTACTGTGCTCACATTTAAGTAAAAATGCGTTGAAAAGTTCATCAAAATGGGTACTGTTCGTAATAAGTAAAACAAGAAATAAATAAAATG